TTTTATTTTTTTTGATTGGTGCTATGTATACATGACTAGACAGAAAGAAATGGCTGTGGTAAAAGAAAAAATAAGGGCTGTGAATTCACTGAGTTCGATCCGTCTGTTTGTGATCGGGGATACAATAATGCAGACATACTGTTTGTACATTTCAGTGTTTTACTTTTGCGTATTAATGTGTATATGTTCACTTATTTTTTTTTCATTATTAATTTATCTTTTTTTCTTTCCTGTTCCTTTTCTTATTTTTTTGTTCCCATCCTGCATGTTTCATAAAAAATTCTAAACAAAAACTGCAGAAGTACGATCTCTAGGTTTCATATTATTTAAAATAAAATACAAATGACATATATTTTTATGATAGAGTGAGAGAAAAAAATTAGTTATTTTTTAGTAACTTTTTACTGACAAAAATACTGGGATATCTTGGTGCAGGTAATACGGAAAAAGAGTACACATTGTACAACCGACATTGTACAACCGACAATACAAAGCTGGTTAAAAATCTGTGAAATTATCCTTTAAATAAACTTTCCCCTTTACCCTTAAAAAAAAAAGAAAAAAAAGAAAAATCATTTAAAGAAACTGGCATCAGCTTTTCACTAAGACCCAGAAATTTACCATTTACATTTCCTAAAATTGTGGTAAACAAACCGCCAATAGTATGATACAGTCAGACATCCATACAGCTTGTCCGTACATACTGTCACATTCTAAGCCACCGCTTTTGGCCATCTTCTTTTAATTGCCTGAATTCTCATAAGGCCTCATACTTCTGAAGGTCTTTACAAGGAGATGCAAATCATTCCATTCCTATTGACTCATATAATTATACATTTATTTCTGCATCACCTGCTGTAAAATTCTGTTCTCCCAAACAAGGTCATCAAAGCTTGTTTGTCAAGACGTTGCTGCAGTATTGTTTATGACAAAGAAGGGTGGGATTGATCTAGTGCACTCGCACAGACGCAGACTCGCCCTAATCCAATAAATCTGTTTTCAATTATGTTAGAATAAAGACTGAGACCTTTCAGCCAGGCCTGGAGTACATCCACGCGGCCAGGGTGGCATTTGCAATAAAACAACTAAGGCTTAGAGGAGATGTAATCATCTCCAGAAACCTTCAAGATAGGACAGAAGTATAGCACGTGGACAATGCCGATACCTGGTTTCAGTGCTGAATTGTTTGTAAAGATATCAAGAACACCTCTCAGTCGGTGCCGATGGCCTCATGGGCAGTGTAGTGACATTGTGCTTCGGGCGTCCTGAGTTCAAGTCCCGGCTCGTGGACCTTTCTCGACCCCACCCCCCTCTCTTTCACCCACTTCGCTTCCTGTCAACTTACTGTCCTATCTAAATAAAAGGCATAAAATGCCAAAAAAAAAGAACACCTCTCAGCATTTTATAATTAAAATCGCATTCTTGCAGCAACACCCTGCATCTGTTTGCCTCACACAAAGCTGTTGGTTTAATCAGGTGCTCTAGTCCAGAAAACCCAAATGCCACATGGCACATACAATGGCCAGGCGGCAGAGACTGTATCCCATTGGGATTTAGTGCTTCAATTTGTGTCCGCTGTGTGCCGCTCCCTTAGTCAGCCTTCTCTCTACACAATGCTATTTACCCGAGACTCAATCGATCTTAATCTCTCCTTCTCTGATTAAAAGGTAAAGCATGAAGGACTATTAGAATGAGTGATTTCAAGATGTTGTGAAAGTAAGTGCATTATATGAGCTGCTAAAGATTGTGAGGGATTTCACCGCAAACCCCTGTGTCTTATTCATGAACAACCTGCAAACTAGTTTGAGCAAGCACAAAATGATGCTCAATCATTGTAATTAAGTCCTTTATATATAAAAAAAATGTTCAATACAGGCATGGCTCCTTCTATGTAAATTAGACAATTTGTTGCATATTCTTAAAAAATGTTGTGCCATTTCCTTAAGATTGATCCATTTTGTTTGTGTATTCATCAAATGATGATCACATGATGGAGTTATAACCACACATATGTGCAGACACTTGGTATAGTTGAGTGCACTTTTTCATTTTAAAGAGCTGATCCGAGTGTTGTTTAAATGAATTCATTCAAATCACTGATTCCTTTGTGTCATCAATCAAAATGTTCACTGAAGTCATGTATTAAAATATTGTATTAAAAATATATGTAGATAAATATTGCTATTGCAATATATTTAGCTGTATTTAGTATGTATTGTTAAATTGTTTCATGGTAGCTAACTTCCTTGATTAAATTTTTCGAACAGTGTGGAAAATTATATATTTAAATTAATTTTATTTTTTACATTTATTTTATTATTATTATTTTTTTTTTTAGTGTTTGGATTTATTTTGTTTTATAATTTTTTTATGTTATTTTAGTTTAGTTTATTTGTAGTAGTAGTAGTAATATAGTTTGGTAAAACGTTTTGATCTATTTCAACATTTTTGAAATGTTGAAATAGAAACTGGCTTAATGTGCTAATTGCGTTCAGTCCAAATGTGTCTTGCCTGATTTGCATAATTTCTTTAGCGAATCTGCCCATAGGAAAAATGTATTGCTCAGTGGTTGGTTTTCCTAAGCTCAGGAGACTTAGATGAGATTCTCATATATCTCTAATTTTAGTATCAACAGCATTTCAGATATTTCTCCTAAAATTTCTTAGGAGAAATAGAAGTAGACACAAATGAGACATGAGAAATATTTGAGAGAAAAAGAGTCAAAACTGAGAATGTGTTGGAAGAAATGGAATAGCTCTTTATTGTCTTGCTGCAATCTCTATCAAGACTCCATTATAGGAATATTTTATTGCTCAGAAGTTGCTCTTTCTAACCTCAGGAGACGTAGTGGTGATTCTCATGTATTTCTCATTTTAGTCTCAACAGTGTCTCAGATGTGTCTCCTTAAATTCCTTAGGAGAAAGTAAAGTAGACACAACTGAGACATGAGAAAGTTCCGAAAGAAGGGAATCCAAAATGACAATGGGAGAGAAATGTATGAGAAACATGGGATATCTCTTTATTGTCTTGCTGTAATCTCTTGCAAGACTC